GTCCCTTCCTGGCTTTATCCCTGACCCAGTCAGCTCTGCCTGTGGCTTGAAATGAGACAAGCCAACTCGCCAGTGAGGAAGTCACGGCAAGGCGCGGAGCCGAGCCAACTGTGAACTTCGCTGCAGGGGAGAGAGCATCCCCAAGGGGTTGCCTCCGAAATGTCTCTGGAGCCCGAGGAGCATTTGGTCGCTAAAGCTTTGCAGCCCTCCCCTACTGCGTTCCTGCCACACCGATTTGGGGGAGGAGAAACAGGGTACGGCCCGTCGGTCTCCCTTCAACCCGACTTGACAGCAATTACGAAAGTTTTCCATTAGCCCCTTGTTATAATCCATTTTATTAATTTCCGGAAATCTCAGGCCATAAATTATTCCAAGGGCCTCCGACGCGAGTGGGGCTGCCGAATGCCGCCGCCCGTGCCCCCGCCCGGCCCCAGCCTCGCGGATCGCGTCGGCGGCCTCACGAAGGTTTTATCAAATATTACATAAAGTAATTATTGCACAGGGTTTATCTCTCAGGTGGGAAGAGGCCCCCATGAGAAATGGAATTCGGCTGCTATTTTAAAAATCAATTTAAGATTGTCATCGCTTTTGTAACAGTCTGCAAGTGGGGCTCATATTGAGGGGCTACGTACAGTGGGAACAACAGGGACAGCAGAACCGGACCAGGTGATAATAGCAATTGTGGGCATCACCTTTATCCTCCCGTTGGCTACCGATGCCATTTGAATGGGATGGGGGACACTGGTTTCAGCCAGGGTCAAAAGCCATAATGTCAGCTTAAAGCACACCACTATGAAACACCCTGGACCTGTAAACTGGAGCGGAAATGTTTCATGCAGGGTCGGCAGGCGGGAGAGGCCGGGAAGCGGGGTAGGGTGCCAAAGGCCATGACTCCTCAGCGAAAGGGCGCCCTGTCTTCTCATGGCGGCCACAAGTAGGAACTAAACTAGTCTTAATATCACGAGAAATACCAATACAATCGCGGCAGTGGGTGCCTACGGTTTATTCATGACCATGTAATCGAAGTTGAGAGCAATTGCAGAACATGCGTTAAACAAAAATATATTCAGAAGTTAGTGGGTTTTGAGGACAGCATCACTTAGATCTACAGAAGGAGCAGGACACCGAACTAGAACTGGGGAAAAAAGGGAAAGTGAAGAGGAATGAGTGTCATAAATGTGGCAAGTGCATTTTGTGCTTTTTTCTTTTGCCTTTTCTACTCCACCACAGCCTGGACTGGAAATTGAAATGCAAACGAAGCCTGATTCTCTCATTTTCTCCAACTTACCCACTATTAGTCTTTAAAATAACCCGAGCCACACATTTTACTATTTTCATCCACTGACTGGTGTTGAAATCGCTTCAAGTGGAGTTTTACTCTTCAGAACCAGAAAACTTTAAAGTCCAAACTGTGGCGAAGTAGCAAGCCCTTGCATTCTCTTCAGGAGGGCTTTTGTTTGTTTGTTTCTTCATGAATTGACAGTTAAAGGCATTTTAGAGTAGTCTCATTATTCCTTCCTGCCATAAGATTCACTCACCAGAAAGCAAAGCATTCTTTGTTTTGCACAGTTTCCTACTACATAATATAGGAAACTCTGCAAAGCATGTATTTTCATGATCCATTTTATTAACATAATATTGTTTTGTTCTTAATACAAAACAAATGTTTAAGTTCTTAATACATACATTGTTCATTATTGTATTATACAAATGTTTTTGCCTGCAACATTTCCGTTTGAGGCAGATTTAAAAAGAAAAAAAGGCTTTGTAATTTTTTTCATTTGTTCATTCCTGGTTCTCCAACAATGAAATCCGGTCATACTTTTCTATAAAATAACTTTTTTTTTTTTACAAATGCATTTTATTAAAAACTCTGATGACATGACATTTCAAGTCAAAACAACAGAAACAAATCAATTCTGGTGGAAGAGATCTATTTTTAAAAATACCTCTAGTGCTTCTTCTTAAAACATGTTTAAAATCACAGCTTTTTAAATTTACTTTTCTTTTCTGAACATCAAATGTTTTGCTTCACAGATTTGCCGGTGAAATGAAAAGATTAGACTAAAATAGGATATCAGAAAACATGATCCCAGCATTAAGAAACTTTATACATTTGGCATCTGATCTAGTCCCAGGTCACCATAGTCTCTGGTCACTTGGAGTAGTAGTAGGTGGCACACTACATGTTCCAAATGAACAGAGGCATTGGACAAGCTATCTGGGAAGATCAGTGGATGGTTTTATTATTATTATTACTATTTATTAACGTCCAAGGAAAGTCATTTAGTTACAAGATATTTAGGAAGTTTTTTAGGCTAGAGCAACACATACAAATCTCCATCTGTCCCTGACCCTCAATTTAAATTTGTTATGTGGGCGCTTGATTATTTATTTCCTTCCAGCTCTCGAAGACAGTGCTGTAGTTCAAGATTTTTCTGCATTTAAAAACTTTTTTATAAACACAGGCAACTAATATAGAATTAATTTTATTCAGAGCACCACTTTTCACATAAGAGCTATCTGAAAGTAATGAATTCTGATTCAGCAGAAAAATACAGCATTCTCACCATTTCCCCTTTTTTATCTTCCTTTCAACATCCTTACCTCCCCCTTTTATTTAAATGGGATTTTATTTGTTGTTGTTGTTTAATTCAGTCTAATTTGTTGAACGGCTCTACCAGGACTTGGCCCAGTATAGAAGTAAAAATGCACCCAAATCATAAAACTGCTCTTCTTTCAGGTATGTTTTATTAGTAAGTGTGCTGGGACACATCTCCCTGTTATATTTTGGCGCACAGAAAAGTTCTGATAGAAGTAGGGAGGGAAAAAAAGGTAATAGAGCAAAGACATAACCAAGGAGGAAGCTCAGCAGACATTCATGGACAGGTAGATCAATCTGTGAGACATTTCAGGATTAATACTGGCAGTTTGTAACCACTCTGTGTGTGCATTAAAGAAAATATTTACAATAAACTTTTTTTCCCTTTTCCTCTAAATACAAGAATATGACAAGAATGTTGTGTTTTCAGTGAAAACAGGCAGTAGACTGTGAAATCACACCATCCACAAAACGGTCTACCAGGAAGCTAGCCCAGTTTAGTGCTCTCAATTTCAAATGCATAGAATGTTTGCGCTGCAAACAATGATATACAACATAATTAAATAAATATTCCCTAACCAGAGTGAGATCTAATTGTGTTTCTTTTTGCATCTTTCCGGTCATGCATGATTTCAGTCTTGTTAAATGGTGAGGTTTTTTTTTTCTTTTCCTTTTCTCGCTTGTTCTGTTTTCAAGTTATTATTAAAAATAGTAATAAACCATCTCCACATGAGAGCCAAAGAGTGTCTTGTGCACAAACAGGCATTTTTCCTAACCACCTTTAACTGTCTTTCTCTTTTTTAAAAAATCTACCAGCAGTCCGAAAAGTAACTTGATTATGACTATGAAATACTATACATGGTTTTCTATTTGGAAGACTGATAGTGCAAATTAACGTTCTTGCTACCCAACATTTATCCCAACAATAAATGACTCTTGAATAATAATACTTAATAATAATAAAAAGGAAACACGGTTGTTCTGCTTTCCCCCCTCCCCAACATGCAGACCCCTTTGAAACAAACTGAGAGTTTTAAACCTGTCTTCCTCTCATCTGGGATTTAGTTGACTTTCTCATAGCCAAGTCCTGCCCCAACTGAAAGCAGAAACTTCCCAACATTTAAAAAAATCTCAAGATCTCCAAGAGAAGGGGGAAAGGAAACCTGGAAGAGCAAGATAGGTCTTGTTCAGTGGAGAAAACAGGGCAGAGTATCACTCCTGGCATCTTTCACTGCAGTCAGTATATTTGAATCCATAGGAGAAAAAAGTAAGTATATACTTTTAAATAAACCACACTGGTAACAAAAGAAAGGGTAAATGGGTAAAGTTCTAATGTGAGGTGAGGGGATTTATTTTGAAATGATTTTGGTCAAATACAAGAGCAAAAATGAAAAGAAAAAAAAACTTGTTAAAATTATTTTTTCTAGAATAAAATATTTAATTCAGAGCCTCTAAACTGATTTTAATCAACTTCCAAGACTGCCTCTCTTTCCCTAAAGGCCCCCACCCAATTTAGATCAGAGTATAGGTTGGGGCATTGGAAAAGTTGGTCCCCACCTAAGCAGCAAACTCCCCTTTCTACTCTGTCACCTTCTCACTTCCCAGTGATGGAGAGCAGCCATCAAGAGTCTCACTGAAACAGAGGAAATAAATCAGATATGGACAGAGTGGAGGTGAGATTTAAGGGGGGGGGAATTAAACACATAGACAAAACAACTAGTTTCTCTACCCAGAATTTCACGTTCTGGTTCGTTTGGTTTTAATTTTTTGACTCAGTGTGTGTCGGGCTGCGTGTGTAGGGCTGGGATGGTGGTAATAAGGATGGTGCTCTTTTTTTTTTTCTTTTCCTTGGGGGGAAATGAAGCTGCAGACTGCAGATCCCCAGAGTTAATATTCTAAAGCATTTTTTCTTTGCTTTTGTTCTGTTTTGTTGTAGTTTGTCTTTATTTGTCTAATTTTTGGTGACTGTTACGTTTGTTTTTGTACGTAGTTCCTTGGTCCCCAGGAGATTTTGGTAAGTATCTCTGGTCAAAAACAGTTCATTTCCCTACCCTTCCCGCATCTCGCCCCACCCTAACCCCTAGACCCATCCTGCTCCTCCAAACCCCTGTTCTTGTCTCTGCTTTCCTTCCCCCTACTCCCCACTCACCCATATGCTCCCCTCTTCTCTTTTTGCTATACCCTCCAGTCTCCACACCCTGCATTCCCTATCCTTTAGGTTGGGAAGGATGAAAGCAGGGACAACAAGGAGGGGACAGAGAAGAGACTCCCCAAATGCAAGCAGGACATCGGACAGGCCAAATGTGGAAGTAAGCAGGCCCGGGGAGGGCGTAAGTCCCCCAATGCCTGCTTAGCTTTCCTCTCTGACGCTCCCAACACCCCCCAACCCCAGACACCCTCAGTAAGTGGCAGAGAATTTCATCCGCTTCTGCTTCTGTCTCTGGTTGCAAAACCACACCCGCACCACGTTCTTTTTGAGGTCCAGTTTCTCGGCGATGGCGGCAATCTTCTCCGAGGAAGGCCTGGGCTGCACAGCGAAGTAGGCCTCGAGGGAGCGCTTCTCAGGTGCAGCGATGGAAGTCCGCTTGCGCTTCTTCTCGCCGCCGTTGAAGAGCTCGGGCTTGTTCATTTTCTCGCGCTGTGCGCCCTCGGCCTCCTCGAGCCACGCCTGCAGGATGGGCTTGAGCGCGATCATGTTGTTATGCGAGAGCGTAAGCGACTCGAACCTGCAGATGGTGCTCTGGCTGAGCGAGCCCACGCCCGGGATCTTGAGGTTGGCCAGCGCGGAGCCCACGTCGGCCTGCGTCACGCCCAGCTTGATACGCCGCTGCTTGAAACGCTCGGCGAACGCTTCGAGCTCGCGCGGGTCCGTGTCCGAGTCGCATATAGACGCCAGGCCC